CCCTCCAAAAAACCCATTTCAATTGCCCGTGATCGTTTCAGCCTTCTCCACAGCTTGCTGATGAGCTGATCATTTGAATCAAGTGAGTTGAAGTAGAGAGAGATCGAAAACAGGCAGGATATGGCTCTCGAGGAACTGGCATTCCCTACCCCTGGTCTCAAGTAAAGATCGTACCAATATTTTGGACTTTGACTTTGAAAGAAGAATTCATTTAACATGGTCTTTCTCTCAGTAGGCCAGGGGTTCCCAACCTTTTTTGACCGAAGATCTACTTTTCAAGACAACCAACCTTCCACGATTAACCTGTGCGCACACACACACACACACACACACACACACACACACACACACACACACGTATGCCATGATGAGCAACAGCCATAATGGCCCCTAACATGAACGAAACACTAAAATAAATACAATAGTTTGTGAGTTTGTGAAAAGGAAATCACTCACTACCTTAGTATAGAGCTGACGCTGAGGCATGGGACACACTTTTGCAGCATGTTAAGTACAGAAACTATCGTACGTATGAGTACCGTTTTATAATGCTTCTCCTGGTGCTCCAGAGTGCCATTCTTTGCCAGTGCCATCGGTGGATTGTAGCTTAAACAAACATGGAATGAAAATAATAGTTTAAAAAAGATAGATGGCAACAGCTCAGATTGCAAGCTGCAATTGCAGACTGCTGACCGCTAGTAAGGTCCGGTGATGCAGATCATGCGCCACCGTGGGTTAAAGGTGACCTGCTTTTGTAATTGTATTTTTAAAATAGTTTTCTTGTAAAAGTGAAACTGATTGGATGCTTAGGGTGTAGTGTACACTTCCACAAAAATATCCACGGGCTATGACATGCATGGTTTTGGAATGCGGAAGGAAATCAGAGTACCCAGGGAAAACCCACACAGGTACAGGGAAGAACATGTAAATTCCTAGATTCTGTAGAATCCTAGATTTGCTGCAATCACCAGAAATCAAAATATTTGTGTCATCTGCAAACAACCCAAATTCACATAGCTTCACTGATCAAACTGAAACGGCAATCTTGCATGACATCACTCGTGTTGGCTACATCAGCTGATGATTGAATGTAAACACAAAACTGCAGTTTTTAAACACCTCCCGATCCATATCTCCTCCAGAATGCTGGTGAATTGGCTTGGGTGGTATAACAGTGGTTTCTCTCGCCGAAGGTTACAGGTTTTAATTATCAGTCAACCAACCCCCATGACCTAGTTGAAGTATTCTTGAGCAAGTTATTGAACCGCGGGTTGCTTCTGATGCTGTATCGTGAGTAAGTGAATGAGGAGACTATGTTCGTACCTTGAAGGTGGAAAAGCATTCACATCTTCAAATGAAAGCTGATTGACCATTAAATTTTCAGGATACAACGATTGGAGAGATTTTTGTGGACTGGAGCGTATCAGAACACTGGAAGACTTTAAACAGGTTGTAAGTGATGCCAGCGTTGCAGAGAGGATACTTCAACTGTACAAACACCCTGACAACATTGACATATGGCTCGGAGGACTTGTTGAGACATTTTCGCCAGGCTCAAGAACCGGTCCTATGTTTTCATGCCTGATTGCAAAGCAGATGAAAGCACTTCGTGATGGTGACAGGTGAGATCTGTACTGGAAATTTACAAATCAAGATTAGATTGATGCACTGTTTGTAAAATGGCTCATGCTCAAAGTAACGGCAACATGTCAAATTTACTTCTTACAGTGTTTAAAACAATTTTCAAGTCACTTTTCTGCACATTTACAAGAATGTTTCTCACCTTGAATCACATTGTTAAACTCAAGGCCTGGGGGCCAGATCCATGTGACAACCTCTATGATCCTTGTACAGTCATACCTTGGTTTTTGACCATAATCCGTTCCAGAAGGCTGTTCAAAAACCGATTTGTTCGAAAACCGAAACCATGCTCTTTTTAAAAAAAATCTTTATTGAACACGTGTGCTCACAATGGAATGCTACACGAGGAAGCATCACTTCCTCGTGTAAGGAAGGCGAGAGGAGTCAAGTGGTGTATTCAAGTGCGCTCAGTTTGGTTGAGAACTGATTTTCGGTCGTAATCCGAGTCATAAAAAACTCGAAATTTTTGGTCAAAAACCGATTTGGTCGAGAACAGAGAGGTTCGAAAACCGAGGTTTGACTGTATACCAAAATTTTAAAGTTTCATGTAATACACAATAAACTTTTCGCAGTAACTTGAACAACAATTGAAAGACCTATTTTCCTGGATTTCTGATTTCATAACTATCCATCCATCTATCCATCCATCCATTTTTTGTTACTATTACTTCCTGTGTACCGCTTCTTCTTTCATTTATTGACGGATTCTGTTTATTTAAACTTGCAAGCCATTGTTAGAACAGGGACTTCAATGAGCTAGAATCGCACATATTACCGCCAGGTCTGATGCCGTAAATATGGGCACAGTTCGCCGCTGGTCATGTAATATCACAAATCTCAATCATATAATCACCCAGCCCTATTTACATTGCTCCTTGGAAGGTAATCGACGGGCTGGGTGATACTGTATGTGTGGTGTGTTTTACTAATGCCCAGCAAAAACTAAAAAAACAAAAAAAGTTTTTTTTGTCTGTTTCTGTTCGGCCCAGTACCAAATGGTCGGATTGTAGCTTAGTTGGTGACTTCTGCTCTGGGTGATATTGTGGAAGGTGCTCCGGAGTACGAGATGCCGGACATCCTAATATAGGCTCTTACACCCAGTTTCAGAGTTTGGTCCGTATTGCCGGCGGTAAGTCGCATTTGTGTCCACTGAAGAGCAGATGCCAACAAGGCTGCCCTTGGTCACAAATTTTGTTCACAACTTTTATGAACAGAATTTCCAGGTGCAGTTGAGGTATTGAGTGTGTCAGCATTGGTGGCCGCAGCGTTTCGCATCAGAGTGTGAAACGGTTGGGATGAGGATCAGCACCTCCAAATCTGGCACTCAGTTGGAAAACAGTGGAGTGGCCTCTCCAGGTCAGGAATGAGATCCTGCCCCAACTGAAGGATTTCAGAGGGAGCTCAAGAGGAATATCATGAGGTCTTCTTTACAAGCCAGGGAAGAAAGGAGCAGGAAACCCATCAGTGCAGTGTCATGTATTGGCCAGAGCAGATAAGCCAACTGGCCAAGCTCTCGATTTACCCGTCATTCTACATTTCTCCCCTCATCTGTGGTCATGGGCTGTGGGTCATGATCGAAAGAACAAGATTGCGGATACAAGCAGCTAAAGTGAGTTTCATTTCCAGGGTGTGTGAACTATCCCTTTGAGATAAGGTGAGAAACTCTGTCATTCGAGAGGAACTCAGTTTAGAGCTGCTGTTCCTCCATATTGAGAGGAGCCAGATGAGGTAGCTCAAGCATTACATTAGGATGCCTCATGTATGCCTCCCTAGCGTGGTCTTCCCAATACGTCCCAACGGGGGGAGGCCCCAGGAAATGACCCAGGGCACCCCTGTCTCCCGCCTGACCTGGAAACACCTTCGGAGTGGGTGGTAGGCTTTGCTCGATATGAGCACAGGACCCACAGGCAGACACAATGAAGTCAGTTTTATTGTCAGGAAGTGAGACAGGTCGAAGTGGCAGGAACTGAGAAGGAGTCAAAACGACCAAGTCGAGGAATACAGAACTGTTGGAGCGTAGTGGTTCGGCAGAAGCGAGTACAGCAGGAAAGATCGCTGATGAACTGGCAACGGGTGGCTCTTCAGGCTGGCTTTTATGCTGACAGGAGAGTCTGGGAGGTGCACTGACTAGGGAGATGCCCAGCTCACACTGAAAAAGGAAACACAACAAAAGGGAGGGGCAACACCGTGGAAAAACAATGGATTCTAACAGAGGGAGGTCTGGGCATCCCTACTAAAGCTGCTACCCTTGTGACCCGACCCGATAACAGAAGAAGATGGATGGCTACGTGGATGGACTTATTTACCGGTAATATTTAGATTTAACTCTTTGAGGTAACAAATATAAAAGTGAAAGAGTTAACAAATATAAAAGTGGAAAAAAGTGACTAAACATTTTAACATCAGTTTTTGAAACTCCGTTTGAAGATAATGTCACAAAATATTGATGTTCTTTTCAACATGAGTCGTTTTTAAAATGGTGGCTCATTAATGAGTGCATTTTATAATGGTTGAAGTTTCCTGGTGATTTGCCGTTCATTATGTTTGGATTTTGGTGGCTTGTATAGGTACATTTGCGAAATTGTTCCCAGCAGTTAATTTGTATCGAATGTTCATGTTTTAGAGATTTTTGCTCCATGTCAGTCAAATCATCTTCACCACAGGTCTCAAACTCAAGGCCCAGGGCCAGATCTGGCCCGTCAGATTATTTGATGTGGCCCGCAGAAGCAAATCAAACACATTGGCTTCAATGATGCGTGCAAAAATTTGTACCAAAATTTCAAAATTTTCTATGTAATATATAAGAGAGCTCTTGTAAGTTTTCTTGTTACCAAAACCCTCATTGCAGTCACTTAAACTATAGTTGAATAAACCATTATTCTTGACTTCCTTATATGGTTTCACAGTCATAACGGCCCTCCAAGAGAGCCGGTAACTATAATGTGTCCTGCGACAAAAATGAGTTTGACACTCCTGATCTACACAATCTTATCTGGCCTGACCAGGGTGCTTTGAAGCAGCTAACTCCAAAGGTCATATCAGTCCACGACTCCACTGGGCAAGTTTTGCTTGAAATACTGAGTTTTCAAGAAGACCATTTGTTTTTTTTCAAGGTTTTGGTGGGAGGCAGACGGTATGTTTAGCCAAGAGCAGAGGGATGAACTTCTAAAAGTTTCACTGTCTAAGATCATATGTGAAAATACTGACATCACGGAGGTACCACCAGATGCCTTCATATTTGGGAAGTACCCCTCAGGTTACGTCTCATGTAACAATTTACCAGCAATGAATTTGGAGGCGTGGCGAGAGGAAAAAAGTGAAGGTACGTGGGACAACGTTTGTACTATTGGCATATTAGCACTCTATCATTTTCAATGAGGAATAGCACCTGACTGCTGTGCAAAATGTTCAAACCTCGGTGATCTGCCTTCTCACTTTTTATGTTGCATTTGCTACCTTGCTGTATGGTAGCATTGCAATGTCAGCATTTTGTCATTTCTCATTAGAATAAGCACCTGCCAACAGCGCACGGTCTGCTCCTGCACTTTAAGTACTGAGGCTATCTTGCTATCTCTGAACAGATAAACATTTTGGATGTGAGCATTTAGGAATTACTATTTCAAGTAATACCTGAATGCAGGACATGATGTAAAATTGTAATCATCTGCCAAGCGCTTTTTCTAGTTAGGTTGCTATCTTGCCGTCACACCGACAGTTATGTCTGTATTTTTAGCCATTCTCATTCAAAAACCTACCTGACAGTCTTAGAATGTCAGCTTTTTAGCACCAAAGCATCAGCCTTGCATCTCAACAGGACAGCTTTCACAAATACTGTATACAACGCTTCCAGGTGATCAACGTAGCAGGCCTATTAAAAATTTCTGCAGAAAAATGTTTTAGTTAAAATTGAAATTCAATCAACCATTCTGCTGAATTTGCAATGCCAATGTAATGTTTACCAACATGAGAACTTATCATCCACCCCCAGATTTAAAACGTTGTGGCTCTCCTGGCCAGATCGAGAATGGTGATTACGTACTGTTCAAGATAGCTGGCAAATTGGTGGCCCTGTATTCCTGTTACCATGGCTTTAAACTAACAGGAAATGCCTTGATTGCTTGTGAAGGAAATCAGTGGAACAACAAATTTCCACATTGTGAAGGTATGTGCAATATTTAGCCAAATGGAAGTGCTGAATATCAAATATTGTATTTAGAATGGCTTCCCAGCAAGCTATTTTCACCCTAGACAATGCAAAATCTCTGTCCTTGGAAACACAATTGATGCTCCACTCTGACTGGAGCTTTACCACCATCAACTGGTACAAATACAGAAGTCAACCGTGCTAAACTATATGCCCAAACATATTCACATGTTGATTTATCCCAGCATACAAAATAACTACACGAACTAACTTGGATAGCCATAACCATGTCTTTTCATGTTCTCAAGGAATCTTTTGAAAGTTGGCGAGACAATGGAGCAGACCTCCCCATACCACAGGAAACGCCGCAATCCCGGTCCGGTTTCAAGACGATGGTGCCTTTCGAATGGTGTACCAAGTGACAGTTGAAAACCAAATTAGGAGAGAAGTTTTTTGACTCGTTTGCAGATTAACTAGCCACCGAGAAAGTTCAGAAAAAAAGCAAAATATCATTCATTCATTCATTCATCTTCCGAACCGCTTTATTATCCTTACTAGGGTCGAGGGGGGTGCTGGAGCCTATCCGAGCCGTCTTCGGGCAGTAGGCGGGGGACACCCAAATTGGTTGACAGCCAATCGCAAGGCACACAGAGACGAACAACCATGCACGCCCACACTCACACCTAGGGACAATTGAGTGATCAATCAGCCTGCCATGCATGTTTTTGGAATGTGGGAGGAAACCGGAGTACCCGGAGAAAACCCATGCAGGCCCGGGGAGAACATCAAACTCCACACAGGGAGGCCAGAGCTGGAATTGAACCCGGTACCTCTGCACTGTGAAGTCGATGTGCTAACCACTGGACTACAGGGGCGCAACGCAAAAATATCATCTGTCCAAAAATTCCACTGTTGTCCAAAACATGTCACATTTGTTTGCCAAGCAGTTGCAGTCTTCATGTTTGTTTCTCACTAAAGTTAAGATCCAGGGTCCATGCCGGATGACAATGATAAAACATTTTTTTCATGACAAAACACTTGTCTGACAAGCATATGTATCTTGTAAGGGACCACAACTTGATCTTGCAAATGGAGATTTTGTTCTCACAGGGCACCAATATCCCTGATGCAATCCCTCACTGCACACGTACCAATTGAGGTGTCTTACAAGTAGGTCAAACTAAATAAAATAAAATAAAATGCTTATTCAGATACTTTCATTCAGTATTTCATTTTTCGGTTTAACTGTGTGCACAGAGTTGTGGTTAGAACATCTGTAGTAGTCTCTGTCACAGTCAAGAGATGCAGTTTCAAATTTATGTTGGATCACCTCTGTGTGGAGTTTCTCCCCATAAATGTGTCTGTTTGTGTGTGTGTGTGTGTGTGTGTGTGTGTGTGTGTGTGTGTGTGTGTGTGTGTGTGTGTGTGTGTGTTACAGTTACTCTGGCCTCCTCCCACAGTGGTTTAATTGGAAACTCTAAATTGCTCCGAGATGTAAATGTTAGTGGGAAAAGTTTGTTCCACACCTGTTTGTGACCTGTGATTGACTCACATCTTGCCTAAAGTCAACTGTGATGGGCTCATTTTACACATGAGGAGGAAAAAAGCTGCATAGAAAATGGATGTACTGTATCGTGCGTGGCGTTCAAAAAAAATAAAACGGCCTCATTTTACCCTTGAGGAGGAAAAGCTGCATAGAAAATGGATGTACTGTATCGTGCGTGGCGTTCAAAAAAAATAAAACGGCCTCATTTTACCCTTGAGGAGGAAAAGCTGCATAGAAAATGGATGTACTGTATCGTGCGTGGCGTTCAAAAAAAATAAAACGGCCTCATTTTACCCTTGAGGAGGAAAAGCTGCATAGAAAATGGATGTACTGTATCGTGCGTGGTGTTAAAAAAAATTAAAAAAGCTTTGTTGCAACAGCCGTTTTTGTTTTTTCTTTCAGTTTTTCTCTTTATTGATCATTACAAAGACGAAGCATTCTGCAAGCTAAGCTACTGTCTAATAGCCAACAGTCAATATGATATTCCTTTTCTGTTGTGATCATCCTGTTCACAGTTGCTGGGACCGGGAGCTTATCCCAAATGACTTTGTGGGAAAACTGGATCTTAAACTGGTTGCTAGTCAATCACGAGGCACATCAATACAATCATTCGGAATCACATTTGCAGTCCGTGGGAAATGGACTCACACTGCCTGCACCAAAGTCAGGAGAACATATCAGGTGTCATCAAGCCTTTTTGACAACAGACTTGCTTTGTGGGTACTGATTCATACAAAGGGCCTCCCAGTTTGGCACTTCGAAAAGGATGATGGTGACTTCGGCCCGTGATCATGAACTCAACGGCAAACATTTTTGTTGATTTGTATTTGCTGCGGAATTCTCATGATTGATAGAACAGTTTTACATTTTACGAGTAGTGGATTTAGTAAGGCAGTTACAATAGAAGTTACAATTACAGAGAAAATGGTCATACACACGTTTGAGTACAGATGTAACAATAACTGGAGGTTTTAACCCGACACCATCAAATACAGAAAGCAAGCATGAAACAATCGTTTTTATACCTTTTTATGTGAACAAATTCTTCCCTTCTTTTTTGTTTGTTTGTTTGTTTTGCTAACAATCACCAGGCGCCTTGGTTTTCAAGTCATTCATCTTGAACTTCAGGTGCACATTGAAATTTGCATCCACTGGAAAACAGAAATATGTAATTAAATTATGTTAAGGCATCCTACAGGATGACACGTGGTCTTTCATACCTCAGATTCAGGAAGTGTGAGCGTCATTCCATCAGAAAAACGTTGAAAGATTTCTAATGAGGACAAAAATAAATAAAAACATATTTAAAGCTTAGAATACAATGTCGGGGAATCTGATACACAATGGGCCCTATTTTCACGTCCAGCGCGAGTCTAGTGCTCATTTGCGGATGATACCACTTTATTTTATAAATGATGTCCTACAAGTCAGCGAGGATGAGTTTTCCTAAAATTATCAAGTGGTTCAAACGCAAACGCTTTGTCTTTAAATGATTGCAAAACCAAGTACCATATATTCCGCACTATATGGCGCACCTAAAACCATTTAATTTTCCCAAAAGCCGACAGTGCGCCCTATAATCTGATGCACCGTATATATGGTGTTACAGAGTCTCTTTATATTCCCCATTGACTGGTTTTCCTGTTCATGTTCCAATGCCATCTAGTGGTGATTATTAGCAGGAACCAATTTAACCTAAAAGGATTCTGCTTGACACCAATTGACATCTGCATTCACCAACACGCACTCGAACAGACACGAATATAATACCAAAAGCAGAGTTGATTATTGACAAAACGAAGGAAGGAGACAAGCAAGGCTAATAAGGATATTTAGCCCCTTGTGGGTTGTGAGCCCAAGAGGTTTGTGTGCCTTTTTGTTGAATCAATGGTCTTCATAACTTTTGCCTTTTATTTATTGTTTTGTAATGCCATTTGCATTTATATGTTTCATGTCTGTGTTTGTGACCAGTTCTCTATTAAAGCTACAGCTATGTATAAACCAAGCTGTATGATATTATATTAGGGGTGTTCACACGGCACACATTTGCTTTGGTGCTGCACCGATGTATTTTGTTGCGATATATCTTACACCGGAGCAAATTTTGTGGAGCGTTCACACGTACAAAGCCGCTGACTAAAGAGAACCCCGGTGTTCGCACGGCAGTTTCTGCAGCGGTGCAAAACGATAGAAAACGAAGATCTGTTGTCTTGGTTCTTTTTAAAACATACACAACTCAAGCAACTACTGTACAGGCGCGTCCTTGTCCTTCTCGGTCTCTGTGCCTTCTGCTCAAGAGGCGTTCAATGACCGCCCCCAAAAACGTAAATCAACGATGACTTCAGTGACACTCAGAAAAGCAAACATAATGCGCCAAACAGAAAATCAAGAGAGGAAATCACTAAATAAATTCTATTGGGGGGTTGTGAACACACAACAGAGGAACAAACTACAAAGAACTCCGAAACAGTCCAGTCTCCTTCAAAAGGAAAGATGACGGAAGTACAACAGAGCACGAAAGCAACGTATTCTACCCATATGTAATGAACTCTTCTCATGCGTAGCGAGGCTACTCCCCCCGCAAACGAGCATTTGCTCCATAGCAAATTTTTAACCGTTCACACGTACCATTTTACATCGGTGCTGCCCCGCAAATGAGCATTTGCTCCGGAGCAAATTTTTAACCCACCTCCTTGAGCAGGGTTAAATTTGCTCTGGTTTAAGCTGTTTTCAGGGTGTACACCAGTATAACTTTGCATGTGTGAACGCTCTACTGGGGCAGCCTCGGCACAGCACCGGAGCAAATGTTGCCATGTGAACACCCCTATTGTCTTCCCTTTGGAAGCAGAGCGCAACTGCAGCCACTATTGTAGCTTCTATTCTATGCGCCTTATAATGCAGCGCATCCTATGTAAGAAAACGGTTTCAAAATATGGCATTCATTGAAGGCGGGGCTTATAATCCAAAGCACCTTATTGTGCAGAAAATACGGAATATGATTTTTAGTTGCAGGAATATAGACGTGGAGGCGACATTGACTGTGCAGGGAACAGAGATTGAAAGGACTAATTAAATTAATTTTTTAACCATTTTGATGGATGGACACATAACATGGAAAAGCCAAATGCATTCGAACACGTCAAAGGCATCCCAAACTACTGCTGAGGAAAATGAACAAAAACAGCATATGACAGTAATAGCAGACTCCACCCACTTTTCATACAGACGAGGCGAAGAGCGAGAGTGATGAAGTTCTCCATTGTTACACCTCCAGAGGGAGACCCATAGCGTAAGGTCAAGATTTTCAACATGTTATTGCTGACCCTTATTCCTGAAAACAGGTTGACAAAAAAGGGGCATTGAATGTCTTTTGACAGAAACGGAAGACATTAAGTACATGAACCCGATGGCAGCCAGGTAATCACCAAACACAGTTTATCAACAAAATCAAAAAGTATCCTGGCTGTACCTAAAGCATCGGCAGCATTCCTCATCTCATTCAGGGAAATTGTTCCATTTGCTGACACATCAATACGATGGAAAAGTTGCTGGAGAAATCATAAATCATAACTGATCAAAAACTACTGTCTATGATATCGAGAGAAATATTGAAATCCTTTGTCTGTTTACTTTTTCCTGAGAGCAAAGAAGCATGTGTTTACCTTGTACGAAACAACCTTCTTCCACAAACTATAAAGTTCCCCAGAATTCAGTTTTCGGGTGGTAGTTGTCTTTGCAAATTCATGTCAAGGTGAAAGATTGGCACATGTTTCACACATTTTCTGTACGGATTGTGGTTTGTGATTTTACTGCATTTGCTGACGGCATCCAAGACTGGAACGAGACTGGCAATCGGCCAAAACATGCCCAAACCTGTCCCAGGCCACTTTGGGGAAGAGGTAAGGTTCATCTTGGATCAATTACCAGTCAACAGGGCACGAAAAGGCAAACCTTCACATTGGCCTTTGCATCTATGGGCAGTTTATTTTGGAGTTCGTCTGAAATGCACGATTTTGGAATGTGGGTTCAAATGAGCAAAGTCAACATAGAAAGGCATTCAAATCCTGATCCTTATGACAATAAGGTAGACCTCTAACCAAAATAGGCCGCTCACGCGCTGTCATTTGAAGCTAACTATATTTTGGCAGGTGTCAGGCAAAATCCCTGTCGCTTGAAAATCAGCACTTTACAGTAATTGGCACGTTTGTTCGACTATGAACATTTCATCGTCAAAGAGAGCAGGCTATTTTCAACACATCGGATTGGTCGAGAATTTGAACACCACGTGTGTGGACTGACCAATCGTGTAGCTTTGTGAAAAAACTGTGCGGTGTTGACCCAAGGACAGCATTTTATTATTATATTCCTCTGATTATTATTTTTTTATGGCCCCTGGGGATGTTGCCTGACTTCTGTGCAAGCAGCGTGGGTTCAATTCTACTCCTAGATATTTGACTGACTGGTGGCCAGTCCCGGGTGTCATCTGCTTTGCGGTAGCTGGGATTGGCTTCAACTCACCCGTGACCCTGAACATAGTTTATGTTATTAATGTGGATTTGGATGACATGCAAAATGATGAATTGATGGCTTTTAAAACTGGTCAGTGGCCTCATTGAACAATTCCAGCAAGTGGCATAAATACATTCCTCTATCCTCATCCACAGTAGATCCAGTTCAGAACCAAAAACGTAACTATTGGGCTGGTGTATCCCATGATGTGAGGAGTAATGATGAATTCAGTTTGGGTTTTTTTTTTGTTTTTGGGGTTTTTTTTGTCTTGTCCTGCCTGACTTAGAAAACAGCCAAAAAAAGGATACGCTCATCATAACAACCATGCTGCGGCATGCATCAATGCTGAAGCCCCCAGTTTTCAAGTCACCTAGGAAAAACGGGAAAAAAATCCCAACACCATATCAGAACAATACAAGGGAATTCCTTTGACAGCCTTGATGGGAAAAAAAAGTGTCCCACCCTTACCTTCCAAGATTTTATCATTGAGGAACTTCTGAAGCAGTTCGGCATCCATTTCATCAGACTAAAATGAAATAAGATGATATGATGAACTTTTTGAAATTACAAATCAGCTACACGCTTGCCAGTGGCGGCAAAAAAAAATCATTTAT